CAGTCAGGCGATGACAAGCGGCGTGTAGGACAGGAAGTATCAGCCAACGATGACAGGGAGAAGGAGGGGGGCGGGCAGAAGGTGTCAGTGGTGGAGATGGTGGCGTTCCTGGAGCAAAGAGCCAATGAACAGCAACCAAACTCTAAGCCTGTACTCCCCCTCCAGAGAAGCTCCGCCTCCATTACTCTGTCCAGAGTCCCGCCCCTCGAGCGCAGGGAGAACACGGAGGCTCAGGGCGAGCAGACGACGGAGAGCGTGAAGGTGTCGGACATGGTCGCCAAACTGGAGTCCAAGTGTCTGAGGAGGAGGACGGAGGAGGGGCTGTCCCGGAACAACAGCCTGAGGAGGACAGAGAGCGGCCAATCACAGAGCAGCAACCTGAGGACGGACGACAGCCAATCACAGAGCAGCAACCAGGGAACAAAAGAAGGCGGTCTCTCTCGGAGCAGCAGCCTGACGAGGACCGTGGGCCGAGTCCTGCTGGTCACCACGGAGCGGCGCTCTGGTTCCTGTCAGCCCGCCTCATCGTTGGTCAGGGCCCCTCCCCCATCGTCATCATCGACAGACAGAGAGCCAATCAGCTGCTCTGAAACACCTGCCCTTTCTCTAACTGCCACGCCCCCTTCAGGTGAGGCAGAATCAGCCATTCCTGTCAGTCAGAGAGAAGCCCCGCCCTTCACACAGCCTCAGTGTGAAGGGGCGGAGCCTCTGCCCGGACTGTTATTTTTGCCTCCCAAAAGGATCCTCCCTCTTTCAGACCACGCCCCTCCCCTCTCAGGTTACCGTCACTCTGACTGCAGATCCACCTGTAAGCTGAAGCCCCGCCCCCCTGGTCCCAGCTCGGACTCTGACAGCCAATCAGAGGAGGTCAAACGGGCCGATCAGGAGCATGTTGGAGGTTCGGTTCCCTGCTGGGCTCCTCCTCTGGGGCGCAGTGCGTCGGCGTCTCAGGACTTCCTGTTGATCCGTCAGCGCCTGCAGCAGCTGCTGGAGCCTCAGCCGTACCTGTCCGTTCTGCCGCATCACCTGCTGGTCAAAATCTTCCTGCTGCTGCCGACGCAGAGCCTCGCCGCGCTCAAGTGCACCTGCCACTACTTCGCCTTCATCATCGACACGTACGGCGTGCGGCCCGCCGACTCGCTCTGGGTGTCGGACCCTCGTTACCGTGACGACCCCTGTAAACAATGCAAGAAACGTTACGGGCGCGGCGACGTGTCGCTGTGCCGCTGGCACCACAAACCGTACTGTCAGGCGCTGCCGTACGGCCCCGGGTACTGGATGTGTTGTCACGGCGCCCGCAGGGACACTCCGGGCTGCAACGTCGGTCTCCATGACAACCGCTGGGTGCCAGTGTTTCACAGCATCAATGTGCCGATCTACAGGCGCGGTCGCCATGACAACTGAAACTGTGTGTCTTTGTGAGTGCGTGTGTTTGACGCAGCAGCACGTCACCGTTTCAACAGAAGAAGAAGATTCAAATGAAACTTTATCGATATCGTTAACAGCTGCAGTGTGGACAGGTGTGTGTAAAGGTGTGTGTTAACCTAAGTGTGTGTGTGTGTTTGTGTGTGTGTGTGTGTGTGTGTTTGCTGCCTCTCAGTGTTGCGCCCCCTGCTGCTCAGCCTCCAGCTCGTCTGTGTGTGTCAGGTGAGATCAGAGCCAATCAGAGTTCAGAGAGTCAGACGCTGAGTCAGCAAGTTTGGGGGCGTGGCCTGTGCGTCAGTAATGATGGGCTGTATCTGAGTTGTGAGGGGGCGGAGCCTCGGGGGCGTGGCCTGTGTGTCAGTAATGATGGGCTGTATCTGAGCTGCACCTTGCTTGTGTTTACACGTGTACAGAAAAGAGTTTATGGGAGGGGTCTAATCCTCGACAGTGAAAATCATTTATTCTGGGGGCGGGGCAATAAGACGGAGGACAAGAGAAAAAAAGGACCTCCTTCTTCTTCTTCTTCTTCAGGGTTTTTAAGGAGTGATGATGTTTGTCTGTCGGTCTTTAATAAAGTGCTTTATCTCAGCTCCGCCTCCACGCTCTTTAGTTCTGATTTCTTAAGAACACTCGACTGTGACCTTTGACCTTTGACCTTTCTCATGTTCTCAGGAGTATTTTCTAAAAAAATCACAGAAACTCAGAAAAAGTGAATTTATTTAGAAACAGAGACTCTGACAGTCTGATGGACTTCACTGAGTTTAAACACTTGAACTGGAAAATCAAACCAGTAGAACCAGTATGACCTGTTACCATGGTAACACAGGCTCTCCACGCTGCAGCTTCATTCAAACTGAGCGCGCTCCGTTTCAGAGAGGAAGATGTGGGAGGAGTCAGAGTGTCGGCGTCCTTCTCCGAGACGCTCCTGATGTCATCGGTGATGTCATTCGGCGAGCTGCGTGAGCGCGTGCAGCAGCTGGTAGTAGTTGTATTTGATGTCGTAGTCCATGTCGTACCAGAAGTTCACTGAGAGGAGAAAGGTCAAAGGTTAAACATCAGCTGATCGCCTCAGTCCATGACCTCATCGTTTGATATATGGTCACATGATCACCAACAGTCCAATAATGACAGCTCTGTAATACACACTCCACTGAGAAGAGAGCTGCTCTCTGATTGGTCGATGTAATCATTCCTCCTTAATGCATGATTGGTCAGTTTGTCAGAGTGAACTTTAGGCCAACATAAGACCCGGGTCCTTGAAGGCCTCGTGCTGCGTTCAGGTGCTCCTCTTACCTGCGATGCAGCCGTGTGACTGTCTGACGTGATGGAACCAAAGAGACGGCAGGTACAGCATCTCTCCGGCCTTCACGCTGCAGCTGATTGGACGAGCTCTGCTGTACTGAGGGAACTGCTCCAGGTCTGGGTCCAGGGGGTCCAGAGGTATCCATGGGACCTGATGGGGGGGGGGGCGGGGGGTAGAATCAGCTCAGGTATTTACACGGCGTAGACGACCACGCAGACGACCACGCAGACACTAAACGCACCTTCTCAGCGCCGCTCTGATCCACCACCTCGAACTCTCCGTCCTCCGTCTGTCGGTAAACCGCCGGCTGATACAGACCTGACACACGCGGACCGGGTTACCATGGTAACCACATAGTACTGAAGGGTTTTATAGAATGGTAAAGCGGTTGCTATGGTTACCGTAGGGGATGAAGGGTCGGTCTGTGGGCGGCAGCAGGATGAAGTTTTTCTCTCCAGAAATCACACAGAAGAGATTCTCGTAGTGATCTTTGTGCACTAACACACACACACACACACACGCACACACACACACACACACACACACACACACACACACACACACACACACACACAGGTTTAACAGGGTAAACACTCTGACAGGATCTGTGCTGCGTTCAGGACCTACTGGACGTCACAGCGCTCTCCTCTCCGAGCCAGAAATTCACCGCGTCGGGTAACTTTCCTAAAACACAAAAAAGACGACGACGAAATACAGGAGTAAACAAACAACAAAGTAAACAAACAACAAAGTAAACAAACAACAAAGTAAACAAACAACAAAGTAAACAGATCTAAAGGGACTAACTGAGCATGCTCAGTGGCGTAGACTCACCAAGTGCCGTGCTCATCCAGGGGACGTGTGACTCCAGGTCGTCTGTGAGTTCAGGAAGTTCATCCAGCAGGTTAGAGCACTGCTTCTGCACGTAGAAGACGCCACGCCGCCGCCGCCGCTGATCATCAGAGAGGGAGAGAGAGAGAGAGAGAGGGAGAGAGAGAGAGAGAGAGAGAGAGAGAGAGAGAGAGAGAGAGAGAGAGAGAGAGAGGGAGAGAGAGAAGGAGGGAGAGAGAGAGAGAGAGGGAGAGAGAGGGAGAGAGAGAGAGAGGGAGAGAGAGAGGGAGAGAGAGAGAGAGAGAGAGAGAGAGAGAGAGAGAGAGAGGGAGAGGGAGAGGGAGAGAGAGAGAGAGAGAGAGAGAGAGAGAGAGAGAGAGAGAGAGAGAGAGAGAGAGAGAGAGAGAGAGAGAGAGAGAGAGGGAGAGAGAGAGAGGGAGAGAGAGAGAGATAGATAGAGAGAGAGAGAGAGACAGAGAGAGAAGGAGGGAGAGAGAGAGAGAGAGGGAGAGAGAGAGAGAGAGAGAGAGAGAGAGAGAGAGAGAGAGAGAGAGAGAGAGAGAGAGAGAGAGAGAGAGAGAGAGAGAGAGAGAGAGAGAGAGAGAGAGAGAGAGAGAGAGAGAGAGAGAGAGAGAGAGAGGGAGAGAGAGAGAGGGAGAGAGGAAGAGAGAGAGAGAGAGAGAGAGAGAGAGAGAGAGAGAGAGAGAGAGAGAGAGAGAGAGAGAGAGAGAGAGAGAGAGAGAGAGGAGAGAGAGAGAGAGAGAGAGAGAGAGAGAGTACTTCCTACAGCTGTTTTGTCAGAGTACTGCAGTCTTAAAAGTACTGTTGGTACTTCTCACAGTAGTATTTATGGTTCTGTAGTATTTATGGTACTGTAGTACTGCAGTTCTCCTGTAGGGGCAGCCTCTCACCTTCTCCTCCATCAGGTCCAGGACCGCAGACAGGGTCATCCTCCTCTCTTCAGGCATGACGAATCGATCTCCGCTCACTGCGTCTGCGTAACCATCGGGGGTCACTGCCACACTGATGACCTTTGACCCCACCTTCTCCCTGCACACAGGAAACACCTGATGACACCGTTTCACAGGTGAACTCCCACCACAGAAGAAGAGGAGAGCAGGTGTTAGTGGGCGGGGCCTCCTCACCTCAGGTACTGCGGGGTCCACCTGTTCAGAGCCGGCCAATGGCTGCAGGCGTTTCTGATGATGACGGGTTTGTTGGGAGCGATCCAATCCCTGAAGAAGACGAGCGGGTCAGGTGACCCGTCCAGGTACGGCACAGAGCGGCTCAGGTACAGGTCTGCCAGACATCACCAACCGATAACCAACAGAATGAGTGTAAACAGAACTGTAAAGGGGTCTCCTGTGGTCAACTTACCCCGCCCCCGTCCCTCAGTAACCGTCATTCTTCACACTCAGGTGAATTTTTATCCATTAGAATCAATAATTCAGTTTATTATTAAAAACAGGAGAAACTGAGAACCTCACAGATCTGTAAACTCTGATCCTCCTGAACGACGACGAAGACTTTATCAGTCCTCAGAGAGAAACTACAGCTGATGATAAACTCATTAAAAATCTTTATTTCTGATCAAACTGACGACTAAAGACTAAACTCACTTTAAACCTCGAACCTTCACAGACTCCATGAACCGACGACCATCTCCGTAAGATTTGGTCACATGATCCATTTCTTTGACCTTCTACAAGAAACAGGGGGTGGGGCTCAACTTACCCCGGTCTCCCCTATCAGGTACATCTATACAAGTTATAAGGAAGTTCAGTGTGGGTACTTCTTATTTAAAATACTTCTTAATTAAAGTATTTCTTATTTAAAGTATTTATTATCTAAAATGAAGGGGTTGTAGTTCAGAAGTTCTTTCTGTATTTTTCTCTGTTTTGTATTTAAATATTTTTTCTCACTTTTCTTGTTTTATTTTTTATATTTTTGTAATTTTCTAAATAAACTTCCTTGTGAATCAGAAATACTCTTCAGTACTTCACTCTCTGCAGTTTTCTCTCAGGGTTACTGTTTCCAGCAGTGGTTGTAGTACTTTTAGCAGTACCTGTAGTACTCTCTCCTCTCACCGTGAGCCTCCTCAGAAAACTCCATCAGCTGTTTCTTCACGGACTCCATCTACGTCATCACATCCACCTGGACAGGTAACCTGATATCCAATCAGAATTCAGCTCAGAGATCAATAACAAAACCGATCACTCCTCCGATCACTCCTCAGCTGTCAGCCTCACGCGGCCATGCTGCCGTGTTTACAGCCGCTGCGCATGCGCGGAGCCCCGGTCCTGTAGTGTTAGAGGCGAGAATGTTTCCCCCTGCTGGAGGGAGGCTGAACTACAGCTGATCAGATATCAGCTGTTTAACTGAGAGGGAGAGAAACTTTCAAATACAATCAATAAATTTAAATCGATCAGGAAACAAAACGACAAAAAAACGACAGAAATACTTTTAAAGACCTAAAGAGGATGGATGTGATGAGTTTGGTGACGGTTTGATGGATGTGATGAGTTTGGTGACGGTTTGATGGATCTGATGAGCCTCTTTCAGGGTTTGATGAATCAGGATTGGATGCAGGTGTGTAGTCCTCTCCTGGATCAGGTCCTGGATCAGGACTGGAGGCAGTTTGGACATGGATGAGTCTGCGTTGGAGCGATACTTTGACGACTCGATCGCTGGAGTAAGTTTGATTAAAAACAGAGGAGATGAACTTTATTGATCATGTTTGTCTTTAGGAGGTCAGTGTGAACTGACTCTCCTGAGGTTGGACTCGGGTTCGATGGTTTATTGATTAACAGTCTGATCACAGAAACACAGACGTCTCTCTGTCATGATTATAATTATTATTGATTTTATTATCACGTCAATTATCATCGTTTAATCCTGATTATTGATTTATCCGTTCATGTCAGTTACCATGACGATGATCAAAAACTATCAGGGCATCAATAAAGTGAAATCAATCTGATCAATAAAATCCTGTAAACTGATCAGCTGATCGATCGCTCTGGTTCTGATTCAGCAGGACTCCAGTTTCCTGTTGGGGGAGGAGCTGGGCCCAGAGAGCCTTGACCCCGCCCACTCCCAGCAGGACTCCGCCCTGCAGGCGGTGAAGGCGGGGTCAGGAGCAGAACTGGGTGACGAGCTGGACCTCAGCTTCCTGCCTGATGACCTCGGCCCTCAGGAGGAGCCTGATCGCCATGACGACACAGGTATGATGAATTCTTGAACGTGATTGGCTGCTCCTGGTTCCTCCTGGTGGACCTGATCCTGATCCTGATCCTGGTCCTGGTCCCGGTCCAGCTGGCGGTCCGGCTGAAGCTCTCAACGTCTCCGGGGACAGCGGCGTCTTCACCGACTTCATTTCCCAGGATTCCACAGCGGCCAACAGCCAGCAGGGGGGGGCGCTGTTGACACACAGCACCTCCCCCTTCTGTCCCATGACCCCCATGACCCCAATGACCCCCATGACCCCGGTGATGGAGAGGTCAGGGATCATCCCTCAGCTCCAGTGAGTCCTTCAAAAGAAGAAAACTTTATTTAAAATCACGGGAAACGTGTGAGACATCAGTGTGTGTGTGTGTGTGTGTGTGTGTGTGTGTGTGTGTGTGTGTGTGTGTGTGTGTGTGTGTGTGTGTGTGTGTGTGTGCAGGAACATCGTCTCCACAGTGAACCTCAGTTGTCCTCTGGATCTGAAGTTTATCGCCCTGCAGGCCAGAAACGCAGAATACAACCCCAAGGTTAGTGTGTGTGTGTGTGTGTGTGTGTGTGTGTGTGTGTGTGTGTGTGTGTGTGTGTGTGTGTGTGTGTGTTGGGGGGATTCAGATCAGACCACTTGGCTGGACTGTTAATGTTTAAAGGGATCTTCCTAATTAATTTAGGGTCAAACACATCGTAACACTTTGACTCATTTCTTTAGCAAAGAGACTAAACACAACTCACCTACTCTCTTCCAGCAGACGCTTGTTTGTAGAGAGACCTCAGGCCAGTCCATTAGGGACTACAGCGGGGTGCCGCAGCTCAAGGAAGAACATTTATGATCATTTCTTCATGGAAATACAATCAGACCGAGACGCTAAGACAGAAGAACTACAGCGTCTGTAAAATGATTAATATGGTGATTATTACTTCAAGGAAATGATAAAGAAATGATCATAAATGTTCTTCCTTGAGCTGCGGCACCCCGCTGTAGTCTGTAATGGACTGGCCTGAGGTCTATATGTCCTGTAGATGAAGTTAGGTGCTGTTCTGAGCATTATCTGTGGCTGTAGAGTGGCGTTTTGGCGTTTTGGCGTTTTGGTTGAGGTTTGTTTATGGCTCCTCAGATGTTACTAAAGCGGTCGACAACATTCATCTCTGGAGGCGGGGTCTAACTCGGCCGATGTTCTCGCTGTTTGGATGGAGAGCCGGTTTCTGAGTCCAGATCTAACTCAGACCCCCTCGACCCACCTGTACAGACATGTTGGAGGTTGGACTTTGATGGTCATGTGACCGTCTCTTTCTTCTTCTCTGGTTTCAGCGTTTCGCTGCCGTCATCATGCGGATCCGAGAGCCCAGAACCACGGCGCTCATCTTCAGTTCAGGGAAGATGGTCTGTACCGGAGCCAAGAGGTCTGAACCCGGGTCACCTGAACACCTGTTTACCTGTGTCTGTGCTACACCTGTCTGACTGCCCTGTGTTTCCGAGCGTGTGCAGTGAGGAGCAGTCTCGGCTGGCGGCCAGGAAGTACGCCCGCGTGGTTCAGAAACTGGGTTTCCCCGCCCACTTCCTGGAGTTTAAGATCCAGAACATGGTGGCGAGCTGCGACATCTGCTTCCCCATCAGACTGGAGGGACTGGTGCTCAAACACCAGCAGTTCTGCAGGTGAGGACACACACACACACACACACACACACACACCTGAGGACACACACACCTGAGGACACACACCTGAGGACACACACACACACACACACACCTGAGGACACACACACCTGAGGACACACACCTGAGGACACACACACACACACACACACACACACACCCCTGAGGACACACACACACACACACACACACACACACACACACACACACACACACACACCTGAGGACACACACCTTAGGACACACCCCCCCCAGGACACACACACACACCTGAGGACACACACCTGAGGACACACCCCTGAGGACACACACACACACCTGAGGACACACACATGAGGACACACACACACACACACACCTGAGTGTTGTTGTTAGCCTAACTTCGCACAAAGACAAACAAACAGGAAGAACCATTTTCAGGTCTAACCTCAGTGACCATCAACCCTCAACAGCTTCTCCTGATTCTCTCTGTCTGTGTCCGTCTGTACCTGTCTGTACCTGTCTGTCTGTACCTGTCTGTCTGTGTCTGTGTCTGTCTGTACCTGTCTCTCCCCCCCAGTTACGAACCCGAGCTGTTTCCTGGTCTGATCTATCGGATGGTCAAACCTCGTATCGTCCTCCTCATCTTCGTCTCAGGAAAAGTCGTTCTCACCGGTAACAAACTCTGATCCTCATGTGTGCACGGGCTGTCTGTTTCTGTTGTGTACTTTTGTTGTGTACTTTTGTTGTGTACTTTTGTTGTGTTATTGTTGTCGTTCCTTTAGTTTGTGTTTTTATTTATTTATTCTCAGTAAAAGAGTTTGAACAGTTCGTAAACCTGAGACCTCGGCGTGTCCAAAGTTGATCAATAAAAATATAAAAAAATCAAAAACAAACAAATTTAGAAAAAAGACGAAGAAAACAAAGAAGTGCTCTAGATCTATAGATCTATACTGTTGTTGTCTGAAACACACAGACTCTTAAACAAGAGCAGTGAGGACATAGATGTACACCCTGACATAGACATACACACATAGACATACACATATAGATGTACACATATAGATGTCTTACACACACACACATACACACTCTTTAGGATGTTGAATCTAGGTGTGACAGCTCTATGTCTGATGAAGAACTGCTCTAGATGTCCCACACTGTGGTCTGTGTCGGAGGTCAGCTCGTTTGTCAGCTGTTTGTTTATGTTGTTGTCATAGTGTTGTTGTTGTTGTTGTTGTGTTGTAGTGGCAGGGTGCACACACACACACACACACACACACACACACACACACACGTTAAGTCATGTTGTTTTTTTAACTTTATTGATAAATCGTCCGTCTCTGTTAATTAAATAAAGTTTTGTTGACGGTGTTGCGCTGCGGTAATTTCAGGAGCTAAAGAGAGGGCGGAGATCTACGAGGCCTTCGAGAACATCTACCCCATCCTGAGAGGCTTCAAGAAACAGTGAGGGGCGGCGGCCTCTGACATCACTTCCTGTTTATTTGTAAATATTTAGTGTTTCTATGAGTTAAATTAGAAAATGATGGGCGGCGAACCCGCCGCTGTTTGTTTCAAATATTAAAGCCTGACTTAGAGTTTAACTCTGAGTTTAATAAAGATCTGTGAACGTCTGAGAGAGTCTGTGTGAACCTGGGGGTTAATCAATAACATCAATAAGATCAATAAGATCAGTAAGATCAATACAGAAACACATGATCAATCTGATGGAGTTCAAATCACAGATTATTTAATATCAAAGATCGTAAACCTGGATCTAAACCTGAACCTGGATCTGGATCTAGGTGAGCACTCGGCCCCGCCCACACAGTGACGGCATCACATAAACAAACCCGCCGTCACGTTCACCAAGAAACCGGAAGTGACGGAGTGCGTGTGCAGATGAAAACAAACAGATCGGTGAAACTCGTCAATCCGATAAACCGTCAGAAATAACAGACCGACTGACTTTATTTCCTTTCTTTAACACTCACACGATCACCATGGAGATGTTCTGAGTCACCTGATTGCTTCTTTTTAGCAGCTCGCGGCGGTAACATTAGATTAGCCTGTTAGCTCAGTTAGCTTCGTTAGCTTAGCCCCCCCTCTCTCCATGGCGTCCTCAGCCGGACTCCCCCCTCTCGGTCCGGACCAAACCGCTCCATCCTCCGGGTCTCTCTCCGCCGGAAGGCCGCCTCTCCGTCCCCCTCAGCCCCAGCCCGCTCACTCCTCCCCCGGCTGCGTGGTTCTGGTGGAGTCCGTGGATGATGCGGAGGGTCTGTCGGTGGCCGTGGAGCGGTGTCCGCTCTGCAGCTCGTCCCGCCGCCGGCTCACCTGTGCCCGGTGCGTGCAGGCCGGAGACTTCGTCTACTTCGACGGCAGGAACCCGGAGAGGTAAAACAGAGAGAATAATCTAGATTAAATTAGATTATAGCAGTGTTTTATTTACCGCACACACCGAACCTCATAGAAAATTCTTCATTTTTTACAGAGTCTGTGATTATTTATGACTCAGACTGAATCTGCCCTGTTATAAATGTGTTTTTTACAAAGACATGAAGGTTTCTGACTGTCCGGCTTTAATATCAGTCAAAACAAACCCGCTAATATCATCACATCAGATCATTACATCTTTATTAAAAAAAAACAGCAAAACTCTTCACAGGTGTACCTGAGAGAAAGACAGGTAATATGAAAAACTAGGAGGTAACAGGTTAATTCTGTGTTAGCCGAATATTAGAGCAGATCATCATCAAAACTAAAAACTTTATTATTCTGATGAATTTGAAGGTTTGTTGTCATTAATCCGGAGTGAAGTCATAAATGATAATTTTACAAACTGGAATCCTGTTAAAGTCTCTGCAGCAGAAAACGTTCGTGTTTCTCCTGATTGAGCTGAAGCTAGTTAACCTGTCATTAACTACCAACACACAACCACTGTAGTTAACCTCAGCAGCTAACACTCTTGTGCTAACAGCTAGCTCAGGTGTTTCTCAGGTGGGTTAGTCCGTGGTTGTTGTTGTTGTTGCTGAGTCACTGTGTAAGGGTTGAAGCTAACTGAGTTAGCCTTACTGCTACTGCTGCTGCAGTTACACAACATGAGGAGACCCAAAATAACTCTAGAGGGTGTCCAAACTGAGGCCAGGGGCCCAACAGGGGTCTGAGAGAAACTACAGGAGGACCAGAAACAAGAACACAGAGGCTCTGAAATCTATCTATCTATCTATGTATCTATCTGACAGTCTTTTGTAAGACAATAATCATCATAAAAATGATGACAACAACTATGATAAGACAATAACACTGATAATAATGATAACAGTAACAGGAACAACAGTGATATTAAACGTGTTATTCTTCAGATACTCGGAGAAGCTGCAGCGTCTGAAGCAGCTGAAGGAGGAGAAGGAGCAGCTGCAGCAGAGGTAACACTCACCTGTCCACCTGTCAGACTCACCTGCTGCTTTAAAAAGAAACTCTTTAAACTAAATAATGTGACGGAGGAACTTTTATCAACCTCTCTCTCTTTTCCCAGAGTGATCCGGGACATGGACAGGAAGCTGCAGGCCGATCACATGGTCAGTTTTTAAACTTGAACCTTTATTAACACAAAACAGGCTGAAGACCTGAACCAACGGACAGACAGAAGGAAGTCAGAACTTCTCAGAACTTCAGTGAAACGTCGCTCCTCTGAGCAGGAGGACAGGAACAGGAAGGCTGCTGACGTTTTACCGACTGTCTTTGTTTTCTGACTGTTTCAGTCACTCAGAGTTTCGTCTCTAACCCTGAGTGTGTCTCTTCTCAGAAATGGAAGATCATGTCGTGTCGGATGAAGATAGAGCAGCTGAAGGAGGCGGTTGCCAGGGGCAACGAGGAGGTGAAGAGCGGTGAGTCTTTGGTGCAGCACTTTTGATTTTAGAGAAACAAAAAAGACTAAAGACTTTAATTCATGTCTGAACCCACAAAACTTTATAAAAACACACAAAACTACAAACAAATACACAAAAAAACACAAATGAAGATGAAACTTTTCAGAACCTGAAGGTGTGTGAAGGTGTGTTTACCTCTCAGGTGTGTCTGTTGAACTCACAGACCTGATCCTCAGACCTGATCCTCAGAGTCTGGACTAAATCAGGTTTTACAAACACAGAAACACGAGGACAGAAACTCTGATCCTGCAGGTCCTCCTGACGACTCCTCAGACTGACTCAGAGGTCATCGAGGTCAACCTGTGTATTTGACCCCATATGACCCCTGTACACCTGTGAACACCTGTCTGTGGTCAGGTAACATGATCTAAACCCCTCCTCCTCTCTCCTCTCTCCTCTCTGCAGACAAAGAGCTCCTCCTGCGCTCACAGGAGGAGAGCGTGCGGCTGCAGCGGCGTGCGGGGCGTCACCAGGAGAAAAGGGATAAAATTGAGCGCCATAACCGCCGATTAGGTGACCTACTGGAGAGGCGGAGCAAAGAGCTGCAGAGCCGTCTGAGTCAGCTCGCCGCCCTGAGACGAGAACACATCCACGAGCTGAGCACACACATGTTCTCGCTGCAGGAGGAGAAACAGGAGAGGAGGTGACAACTGAACACACACACACACACACACACACACCTGAACACACACACCTGAACACACACACACACCTGAACACACACACACACACACACACCTGAACACACACACACACCTGAACACACACACACACACACACACACCTGAACACACACACACACACACACACACCTGAACACACACACACACACACACCTGAACACACACACACACACCTGAACACACACACACACACCTGAACACACACCTGAACACACACACACACACCTGAACACACACACACACACCTGAACACACACACCGGAACACACACACACCTGAACACACACACACACACACACACACACACACACACCTGAACACACACAACTGAACACACACACACACACACACACACCTGAACACACACACCTGAACACACACACCTGAACACACCTGCCAATCAATACTGACACACTCCGTAACCGTGGAAACGATGGGATGGACATGAGCAGAAGATTAAACTTTCACTTTAGTTTTAGTTCCTGATCTGATCGTCTCTGACTGTCACTCATCCTCTATGTCCACCTGTCCTCCTCTCCATCTGTCCACCTGTCCTCCTCCCCTGCGTCTGTCCCACAGAGACCCCGCGGACGTGGTGGCGGAGTGTGACCCGGCGCTGACCTCTAGCACGGTAAGCGAGCTGGCGGAGGCTCGGAGGACGACCTACCTGTCGGGACGCTGGATCTGGGACGACCAGAACGGAGAGACCAGCATCAGCATCACAGGTCCACCTGTCAGTCTGCCCAGCAACGGAGACTGCTCCGCCTACTACAGCTGGGTGGAGGAGAAAAGCACCAATCAGGGCCCGGGTGAGCTGGGAGGGGGCGGGGCTTAGTAATGGGATGATTTGATTTGATCAGCTGTTAACAATCAGATCAAAGTGTAGATGCTCTAAAATTAACTTCCTGTTGACCTTTGACCTCCTGCTGCAGAGCTTGACCACATTAACCCCGCCCACACCATCAGCGCCGCTCTCTGCTACGCCACACAGCTGGTCACCATCCTGTCTCACATCCTGGATGTCAACCTGCCCAAGAAGCTCTGCAACAGGTGAGTTAGCCCCGCCCACCGCTGCCTTCGCTGACCAACTGCAGAGTCTGGAAATCACAGCGTCTGATTGGTTCACTGTCCGTCTGTTTCCCCGCCCCTCAGTGAGTTCTGTGGAGAAAACCTGAGCAGGTACCGCTTCACCCGAGCGCTGAGCAAACTCAACACCAACATCCTGCACCTGTGCTTCTCCCAGGTAAGACACGCCCCTCTGTGGTTAGACACGCCCCTTTGGTTAGACACGCCCCTTATTGTGAGACACGCCCCTGTAGTTAAACACACCTCTGTAGTCAGACACGCCCCTTTGGTTAGACACGCCCCTTATTGTGAGACCCGCCCCTGTAGTTAAACACACCTCTGTAGTCAGACACGCCCCTCTGTGGTTAGACACGCCCCTCTCTTGTCAGACATACCCCTCTGTAGTTAGACACGTCCCTCAATTGTCAGACACGCCCCTAACAGGCCGAAGGTGTTTGAGTTGAACTTTCTGACCTTTGACCTTTGGGTGTGAGGAAGGTCGGTGAAACTCGACACTTCGCTCAGTTTTGATTGGCTGTGACGCCAAAGAGTGACTTTATTAAAAACACACCTGTCCACCTGTCCAGGTGTGTAACCTGAGTGGTTTTTTCTGTCTGCAGCACGTGGACAGTGAGAAGCTCCACCCACATCACACTCTGAGGAACATCATGTTCCTGGTTTCCCCCGACAACCAGAACCTGGGCAGGTAAGACACACCTGTTGTTCTATCTGACATACGTCTGTCGGCCATGTTGGAGAGGTCACAGGAGGAGACCACAGCTGTCTGATGTTTGTTTGTTTGGTTCTGGTTCTGCTCCTGTCCCTGGTTCCAGGACCGGTCCGTTTGAGGTAAGTGCTGACCTGGAGGAATCGATGGAGTTCGTGGAGCCGGAGGCGGCGGGGCCGGCAGAGGAGAGCGGCGATGAGACGGTGACAGACGAGGAGACGGACCTGGGGACGGACTGGGAGACGGTGCCGAGTCCCCGGTTCTGTGACATCCCATCACAGGTGAGCTCCCCTGGTCAAGGTCAGAACCAATAAGAATGTTCAACTTCAAATTAAAGCCCCGCCCCCTCTCCCCCCACAGTCCATGGAGCTTTCCCAGAGTGCTTTGCAGGTGTCCCAGCCCTCAGCCAACACAGGGGGGATGATCTCGTCTGCGGCGGCGTCGGTCACTTCCTGGTTCAGAGCGTACACCGGGCAGCGCTGACCGGACCGAACCAAGGACCAGGACTGAGGTCAAAGGTCGAGTTCAGGGCGACAATCAAACAGAGGGGTCACACAGAGACGCCTGAAGGCGGCACGCCATCAAAACGACGTGTCAAGAATTCAAATCAGCCAATCACAGGAGAAGGGGGCGGAGCCAAACGTCACCAACATCAGGATCTAAAAACTAAAAACAGGATCAACAATCAGATCAGGTCAGCTCTGAGTTATAATCTGACTCCAATAATCTGATCAGTAATCTGACACCTGTGGTCCCGCCCACCTGTCCACATGTTCAGATCAAAGGGAAAGTTCCGGGTGTTTCTTTTTTTCTCTCTGATTGGATAATCTGCCAGCGTCTGGTTACCGTGGTGATAACTGACTACTGTTACCATGGTGATAACTGACTACTGTTACCATGGTGATAACGAACACTGTTACCATGGTGATAACGAACACTGTTAACATAGTGATAACGAACACCGTTACCATGGTGATAAGGAACACTGTTGCCATGGTGATAAGGAACACTGTTGCCATGGTGATAACGAACACTGTTACCATGGTGATAAAGAACACTGTTTACATGTCTGACTGTGATCAAGAGAAACCAGAGTGACTCTGGATCAGGATCAGAGACTCAACATGGACTCTGAGGAGGACTGAGGGAAACCAGTTAGACCAGTTTAACCAGTTAGACCAGTTCAGTGACTCTAACCTGTTAGACCAGTGTAACTGGTTTCACTGGTCGCTCGCCTGTTTGGACAGTTTGTTGTTTTTGGTTTGTTAGTTTTTTTTTTCTGTAAACATCAAAAGTTTGAGTGAAAAAAATAAAATCCTGTTTTCAGGTTTTTGAAGCAACTCCTTCAAAATAAAAGACTGAACAACAAAACAGACGAGGTGTGTGTGTGTGTGTGTGTTCAGACCCTCAGAGTTTTTTTTCCTTTTTTTTACACAAACACAGTGCTCGTGCACGCTCATGGCTCATGTGCACGTGACAGCAGAGTGAAGTCTTTGTGTTCAAAGCCGCAGATTAGAGATTAGAGCTCAGCGTGGAATGATAATCTAATCCTCAGCAAAAAAAAAAACTTTATTTAAACTTTAAAAACAGTTTTTTTTGTTTTAAACTTTTTAATAGTGAAGGAGAGTGTGTGTGTGTGTGTAAGTGTAAGTGTGTGTGTGAGTGTGAGTGTGTGTGTGTGTGTGTGTGTGTGTGAGTGTGTGTGTGTGTGTCTGTGTCTGTGTGTGTGTGTGTGAGTGTGTGTGTGTGTGTGTGTGTATGTGTGTTTATCGTGTGTGTGTGTGTGTAAGTGTGTATGTGTGTCTGTGTGTAAGTGTGTGTGTGTGTGTAAGTGTCTTTGTGTGTATGTGTGTGTGTGTGTGTGTATGTGTGTGTGTGTGTGTGTGTGTATAAAAGCGGCTGCGCTCTGGTTCAGACTGGTTTTGCCATCAGGATGGAGGTCGTGTTTCTGCTCCTGGTCGTCTGTTGGTCTCCTGTTGTTGCTCAGGTTTCTGTCCCCCAGAGGGACGAGGTGAGGACAGAGACAGGGACGGAGGAAGGCGGGCGGGCGGACGTCCCCTCTGACCCGGTCGTCCTCTGGGATGAGCTGCAGGGCCTGAAGGATCTGGTCCTGAGCCTGAAGGCGGCGGAGGTGGGTCGGCGTCAGACTCTGCGGAGCGTGGAGAGCCGTCTGAGGGACAGGGAGATGGAGGCGGAGCAGCAGAGACGCAGCGTGGACGGTCTGACGGAGACACTGAACCAGAACAGGAAAGAGCTCAGGAGCGCCACCCAGAGGGCGGAGGCAGACAGGAAGCTGGAGATGGACGCCAACTCTGAGCTGAGCAGGAAGGTGGAGGAACTGGAGGAGCAAAACAAAGGTAGGAGAGAGGGGGCGGAGTCAAGTCTAAGAAAAACAGTCATGTGACCTCAACCCTGTAAGAGTCGAGAACCTGAGAGTAAAAAATCAATAAAGTCAGGAACTGATAATCAATAAAAGTTTCAATTGATCAGGAAATAAAACAAAAACAATCAATTTTTATAAAGAATCAAATTCAAGAAAAGAAAAAGTTCTGATGGAGGAGGAGCCAAACGGGTCCAAAGTTCTGATGGAGGAGGAGCCAAACGGGTCCAAAGTTCTTGGTTCTGTGTGTGTAGTTTTTGTGTATTTGTGTGTAGCTTCTTTAACCTCGTTATCTCCGATGTTGACGCCAGTTTACGGAGAGGTGTGCTGACCCTGTGTCATGTTGTCATGGTAACCCAGTTTGCCGGTGTGCCCCTGGTTGCCGTGCTGGCACTGTATCATGTTGTTGCCATGGTAACCCAGTGTGCCTCTGATTGCCATGTTGACCCTGTGTCATGTTGTTGCCATGGTAACCCAGTGTGCTCCGGGTTGCCATGCTGACACTGTATCATGTTGTTGCCATGGTAACCCAGTGTGCTCCGGGTTGCCATGCTGACACTGTGTCATGTTGCCATGGTAACCCGGTGTGTGGGTGTGTCCACAGCTTTGGCGGCAGAGTTGCCGTTCCTGCAGACGAGACTGAGGGCGAGCGAGCTGACGGTGGAACAGCTGAGGAGGAGGAGCTCAGGTCAGACTCATCTTCATCTTCATCATTGACCTGAGCTCAGCAGCGCCCCCTGGACTCTAAAGTCTCTGTCTGTGTCCGAAACGGACCCCTAACTCCTCTATAGGCAACTACAGGGGGCGTGTCCTAAACCTCAGTGATCAATTCCAGGGTCAATCAGGGTCACGCTCAAACCCGAGTCCTAAACTAAAAGAGGGCGGGGTCACAGCTGAACGCTTACATGAGGAGAGGAAAACTGACTAACAACAGACACACACAGACACACACACACACACACACAGACACACACACACAAACACACACACACACACACAGACACACACACACACAGACACACACACACACACACACACAGACACACACACAAACACAAAGGAGTGTCAGTGACCTTCACAGAGTTACAGACCTGAGTCTGTGTCTGTCTGACACTGAGAGGTCCTTTAGTGTGTGTGTGTGTGTGTGTGTGTGTGTGTGTGTGTGTGTGTGTGTGTGTGTGTGTGTGTCTTTATTCTTTGAAGCCTATTTGTTTTGTTTTAAAACGGTCCTTTCAAAGTAAAAGCCTGTTTGTTTTGTTTTAAAATGGTCCTTTCAAAGTAAAAGCCTGTTTGTTTTGTTTTAAAATGGTCCTTTCAAAGTAAAAGCCTGTCTGTTTTTGTAGTTCTGGCGGTCAGACTTTGTAACACTGAGGGTCTGATGAAGGAGCTGAGGAGACAGAGTTCAGGTCAGACTGTCATCATTATTATAAACCTTCATTAACCCTGACGTTGACCTTTAATAACCCCACTGACCTTCATTAACCTTCATTAACCCTAACGTTGACCTTTAATAACCCCACTGACTTTCATTAACCATAATTGATTATTTGACCGTTCAAACCTTTATAAACTCTTCATCTTCATCATATTGGATTAAGTTTGACTGACCTCTCATTAACTCTTCATCAGTACATCGATAATTAAGTCGGTCATTGTAATAAACGTTTAATAACTGGTCCTTAAAAATTCTGGATTTAAAGTTAAAGAAATTATGACCCTTTATTTCCCAGCAGCCTTTGCCTCGAACAGCTCGACAGTGTCTGAGGAGCCGATCTCAAACTCACCAGGTAAACATCCTCACCTTTAAGTGGACCGGGTCAGAACCTTTAAGTGGACCGGGTCAGAACCTTTAAGTGGACCACGTCAGAACCTTGACTACAGTAACACACAAGACTAGACTGGACTGGACTGGACTGGCCTAGATTGGACTAGACTGGACTGGACTAAATTGGACTGGACTGGACTTGACTAGACTGGACTGGACTGACTGGACTGGGCTGGACTAGACTAGACTGGACTGGACTGGACTGGACTGGACTAGATTGGACTAGACTGGACTGGACTGGACTAGGCTGGTTAATCTAAACAATCAGAAACCAAACTTTCACTTTTGTATACAACTGTAAATTTCTTACAGAGCTGATTTTTCTTCCAACTCTTATTTTGAAGGTCAACAGTGAGTTTCCTGTTTCCACCTCCGTAAAGGTTCATCTGTTCATTCTAAATGTACTTCACCATTTACGCCTGTTTCATTAAACTGAGACTGTTATTCTGCTGTGTGTGTGTGTGTGTGTGTGTGTGTGTGTGTGTGTGTGTGTGTGTGTGTGTGTGTGTGTGTGTGTGTGTGTATGTATGTGTGTGTGTGTGACATGATGTCTGTTGTTTGTTTCAGATAGAGGCTCTCTGTCAGCGGTTAACATCCCACAAACTTCAGGTGATCTGTCCGTAAAACAACAGCAACAAAGATTATAGTGATGATGATGAAGATGAAGATAAAATGATGATGATGGTACATTGTGGTCGTTAACATTTCTATGTTGTTGTTTGGATATTAATGTTTTTATTTTTGTTGTTTTTGTCGTTTTTGTTGTTTTTGTTGTTTTTTGTTGTTTTTGTTTTTGTTGTTTTTGTTGTTTTTGTTTTTGTTGTTTTTGTTTTTTGTCGTTTTTGTTGTTTTTGTTGTTTTTTGTTGTTTTTGTTGTTATTGTTGTTTTTGTTGTCTTTTTTGTTGTTTTTGTTGTGTTTGTTGTCTTTTTTGTTGTTTTTGTTGTGTTTGTTGTGTTTGTTGTTTTTGTCGTTCTTGTTTTCGTTGTTTTTGTTGTTTTTGTTGTTTTTGTCGTTTTCGTTGTTTTTGTTGTTTTTGTTGTTTTTGTTGTTTTTGTTGTGTTTGTCGTGTTTCGGTGTCTCAGGGGTCAACAGTTCGGGGTCTTGTGAACTCAGACTCCGTGGTTTTGAGGAGCAGCTGGAGAATCTGAAGAACGTGAACTCGGGTAAAACCTCCAAACTTCTGTGTGTTTGTCAGTGACATGACTGAATCATGATGAGGATGATTATAATAATAATAATATGATAATTATACTAATAACAACACTAATAATAATAATTATTGTTATCATGATAAAACAGTTTTAATTCACTTTTAAAACACGTCTCACTGGCAGGATATCCTCTCCGTTTTATTCATACTGAAGGTTTTTCCAAAGTAAATAAAAAAACAGAGAAACAGAAGCTCAAAAAAACAATGAAGATCAAATAAAGATAAAAGAAACTCAATCAAATAAAAAGAAAATAAAATCCATCAAAGACGATCAAATGATCTGCTAAGAGTTAAGAGGAGAAGAGGAGGGTCCAGATGAAGCTGTAGAGGCTCCAGGATGGTTCCCAGAGGAACCCCTTTTTTTCAGCAGGTGGTTCTTCTGAAACGTCAGTTAGTCCCGCCCGGCACCGAACCCCAGCATCCTCGCCGTCCGTAACTCGACCTGATGTTCAGTTTAACGGACCGACTCTCTGTCAAACACCTGCTTTCAGTCCAGGAGGGGGCGCTGTCTGCTGTGACTGTGAGGCTGAACATGAGTGAGGAGCAGCTGGATCACCTGAGGACCACGAACACAGGTAACCTCTCCTGATGCCTTCACTGACATCAGGAAAAACCCGAAGTTAGGTCAATCAATCAACAACATGAATCAGGTCTACTTCCTGTCAGAGCTGCAGGTACGACTCCGGGTCACAGAGGTCACCGTGGAGCAGCTCCAGACTGACAGCCAAGGTACACACACACACACACACATATATATATACCTGTGTGTGTGTGTGTGTAATAAAGTACTTCCTGTCTCTTCAGCTCACTCCGTCCTGCTGTCAGAACTCACTTCCAGACTCGAGTCCTCAGAGAGAAACGGCTCAGGTGAGTCGAACACACCCTCGCTGAATGAGGGGCGGGGTCTGTACCTCTGTGGGCGGAGTCTGTACCTCGGTGGGCGGGGTCTGTACCTCTGTGGGTGGGGTCTGTACCTCTGTGGGCGGGGTCTGTACCTCTGTGGGTCAGAGATGTTGTGACTGCTGTAAATTCACAGTGGAACTCCGTTTTATTTCTGTTGTTGTTTTTGTTCAGAGCTGACGTTCAGACAGAACATCAACACCAAACAGCTGGAGGAGCTGAGAAACGCCGACTCAGGTTCACCGTCCATCTTAAACTCAGAAACTGATGAGGATCCTCAGAACCTCAGTGTTACAGTCAAACTCAGAGCTGCTTCCTTCCTTTCAGAGCTGGAGACCAGACTGAGTGAAGGTGAGAAACATCTGGAAGAGCTCCGGATGGTTAACGCAGGTGAGAGCGATCAAAGAAACACAGGAGTGTCATCGATAATTAAAGAGTGACAGGAACTAACCTGTGGAGGATCTCTGTGGGGTCCCTGAGGAGGAACTCCTTTATTACTGCAGATAAACTCTCTGTTGCTGTTTTTCCTTCAGAGCTCAGAGCAGCTCTGAGTGTCGGTGAGAAACATCTGGAAGAGCTGAAGACGGAAACGACAGGTGAGAGAGTGAAACACACCGACACAACCTCCTCCAGGAACAGAAACTGAACCTGATTTTCCTCAGAGCTGGAGACCAGACTGAGCGTCAGCGAGGAACAGCTGGAGGAGCTGAAGAGTGAAAACGAAGGTGAGAACGTCTGAATCCAAACAGAGCGAGTGACGCTGTATTTTCTCTGACGGTAGAAGACGCACAAAAGTTTTATTTATCATGGGCCTCCTGAAATATTGAACAGCCACGCTGTTCCTCCAAAGATCCAGAGAAGAGAAATATCAGAGACAGAAGCAGCTGGAGACTCGGAAACAGAAAAGAGACGCTGTGTGAAAATTAAAGGGAAGAATTTATTTATTTGAACCCGAACCAACAAAGAAATAAAAGAAGTTTTCCACGTAAACAAACTGTCCAGGAAAAACAACCAACTGAGAAACAGACGAAAGAGGGTCACGTCTTCTGTTTCAGTCAAACCGAATAATCTATCATTACACACACACACACACACACACACACACACACACACACACACACACACACACACACACACACACACACACACACACACACACACACCTCAGTCCTCCCAAACAAAGCTCAGAGAAACAAAAAAAACAGAGGATCGAACCCGGCGCCCTGAGGGACGCCTTCGTTTCTAAAGTTTGACTGTTTTCTTCCAGAGCTGGAGGCGAGACAGAGCGTCAGCGAGAACCAGCTGGAGGAGCTGAAATCTGAAAACACAGGTGACCTTTAACCCACGAGATTAACCTGAAAACATACCGTCATCATCTGAGCGCTAAAGACGAAAACAGAGTTTCCTGCTTCTCATGAATGAATTCAACCACAGGAGGCGCCACTTCATCACACACACTTTTAGTCCTCAAGAAATCATCATTTTCTGTTTTACTACAAATGTTAAAATCAATAAGAATCACGTGTATTAGCTTTGATCAGCTTTGATTCTGATCATTTAAAATGCCGACGTGATTTTTTTATCCGCAGTCTGCAGTCGGTGAAGAAGCTCCAGGACCAAACCTCTTTAAACTGTGAAAACTCCACCAACATGAATAAATAAACCAAGATTTTCATTTCTCCTCAGAGCTGAAGATCAGACTGAGTGTCAACAAGAAACAGCTGGAGGACCTGAAGACTGAAAACACAGGTGAGAAACAAACCTGTGGAATAACCCACAGAAACCACAGAAATCAGACAGACGTGATGACAGCGTCAGTTTAGATGATCTGACATGGTTCCCTGAGGAACTAACGAGGTTTAAGTCTGAACTGTTTCTCCTTCAGAGCTGGAGACCAGACAGAGCGTCGGTGAGGAACAACTGGAAGATCTCAAAACAGCAAAAAAAGGTAAAAGAACAAAAGTGTCTATAAAAACGCAGAAGCCAAGAGAGAAGTCAGATTAGAACTCCAGAGGATCTAAAAGAGCTCCCTGAGGAACTCCGTCATCTTCACTGCTTTAGTTTGAGGAACACAGCGAGTAAAAAAAACAGAGCAGACGTCGTGGTCGACTCGGCTCTTCTAATTACTCATTTAAATTGAAGAAAAATGTATTTATGTCAAATTCAACAGTAAAAACTGAAAACTCAAAGGATCCAACATGGATCCCTGAGGAACTCCCCGACGAACACGTTTGATCTCTGAACCGTTTTTCTTTCAGAACTGGAGACCAGACAGAGCGTCAACATGAAACAGCTGGAGGACTTTAGAAGAGTAAACACAGGTACCCCAAAACTGGGAGAAACTGTTTATTTTGGGGGTTAAAAATGTTTATTCATGAATTTAAAATCACTGAAACTACCGAGAATCCAACATGGCGCCCTGATGTTCGCCATCATTACCACAGCTGAACTTTGACCTTTCAGAGCGGGAGACCAGACTGAACATCAGTGAAAAACAGCTGGAAGACCTAAATACTGAAGTCACAGGTAACCTGATCATTTCAAATGTAAACAAGATTTACATTTTAGACTCAATACAAATAAACACACATTTAAACTCCAGAGGATTTAAGACGGCGCCCTGAGGAACTCCATCCTTAACACAAAGTTAAACTCAACACTGTTTCTCCTTCAGGACTGAAATCAGTCTGAACACAGACACCTGAGAACAAACTCACTAATCTATCAAATACAAACATGAATGAATTTCAGGTCAAAGAGGGAAAACACACAGAATGAAACTCCAGAGGGTCCAACATGGCGCCCTGAGAACAGCTGACCTCTAAAGTCTTTTTGGTCCAGAGTTACAGATTTTTACCAGAGAAATAACAATAATAACAACAATAATAATAAAAATGTATTCAGAATCAACTCAGTGAAACATGCCGATTAAAACTTAAAGCGACCCAATAACAGCTCCCTGAGGACCTCCGTGGTTAACGCTGTTTGACTCTGTGTCATCCCTCAGAGCTGGAGCTGAGACTGAGCACGAGCGAGAAACAGCTGGGAGAGCTGCGGAACCAAAACACAGGTGAGAACGGTCACAGAGAACTTCGTGGTCCAAACCCGACCCACAGACACGCGCAGCCAGGGTTTAGAAACGCTTTCCTGTTTGTATGTCATGTAATATTCTGGATTATAATCTGTGATTCTGTTTTTCAGGTCTGAGGTTCAGACTGACTGAATCTTTCGATCAACTCAAAAACAAAAGCTCAGGTTTGAACTCTTTTTATCAAAATATCATAACTGATATTGAGCCAGTAGACTCGTGTCAGTGTTAGTGTGTGTGTGTGTGTGTGTGTTTCAAAAGGTATCTCCTCTAAGAGTTTTATGAATAGAAAGCTGAAACTGCAGTTATATTTTTATCATTCTATACATGACACTTCATCATATTCATTGTATCAAGACACTTAACCGATTAACCCATAATGCTCCCAGTTAGTGTCCTCCACTGGTGTATGATTAAGAATGTTGTGATATTTTTATCATACTATAAAATGACATTTATAACATACTATACTAGTACATTTTTAACATACTATACTATAACATTTTTAACATACTATTCTATGACATTTTTAACATACTATACTATGACATTTTTTATATCATACTATACTATGACATTTATATCATACTATACTATGACATTTTTAACATACTATACTATGATATTTTTATATCATACTATACTATGACATTTTTTATATCATACTATACTATGACATTTGTACTATACTATGACATTTTTAACATTCTATACTATGACATTTTTAACATACTATACCATGACATTTTTATATCATACTATACTATGACATTTTTAATATACTATACTATGACATTTTTAACATACTAAACTATGACATTTTTAACATTCTATACTATAACATTTTTATAGCATACTATACTATGACATTTTTAACATACTATACTATGACATTTTTTGTATCATACTATACTATGACATTTTTGACATACTATACTATGATATTCTTATATCATACTATACTATGACATTTTTTATATCATACTATACTATGACATTTTTCATTTACTATACTATATTTTTAACATACTATACTAGGACAGTTTTTATATCATACTATACTATGACATTTTTAACATACTATACTATGATATTCTTATATCATACTATACTATGACATTTTTTATATCATACTATACTATGTCATTTTTAACACTCTATACTATGACTTTTTTAACATACTATACTATGACATTTTTATATCATACCATACTATGACATTTTTTATATCATACTATACTGACATTTTTAACATACTATACTATGACATTTTTATATCATACTATACTATGACATTTTTAACATACTATACTATGACATTTTTTATATCATACTATACTTTGACATTTTTTATATACTATACTATGATATTTTTAACATACTATACTATGACATTTTTTATATCATACTATACTGACATTTTTAACATACTATACTATGATATTATTATATCATACTATACTATGACATTTTTATATCACACTATACTATGACATTTTTAACATTCTATACTATGACTTTTTTAACATACTATACTATGACATTTTTATATCATACTGTACTATGACATTTTTCATATCACACTATACTGACATTTTTAACATACTATACTATGAAATTTTTATATCATACTATACTATGACATTTTTATATCATACTATACTATGACATTTTTTATATCATACTATACTATGACATTTGTACTATACTATGACATTTTTAACATACTATACTATGACATTTTTAACATACTATACTATGACATTTTATATCATACTATACTATGACATTTTTGACATACTATACTATGATATTCTTATATCATACTATACTATGACATTTTTTATATCATACTATACTATGACATTTTTCATTTACTATACTATATTTTTAACATACTATACTAGGACAGTTTTTATATCATACTATACTATGACATTTTTAACATACTATACTATGATATTCTTATATCATACTATACTATGACATTTTTTATATCATACTATACTATGACATTTTTAACATTCTATACTATGACTTTTTTAACATACTATACTATGACATTTTTATATCATACTATACTATGACATTTTTTATATCATACTATACTGACATTTTTAACATACTATACTATGGCATTTTTATATCATACTATACTATGACATTTTTAACATACTATACTATGACATTTTTTATATCATACTATACTTTGACATTTTTTATATACTATACTATGATATTTTTAACATACTATACTATGACATTTTTTATATCATACTATACTATGACATTTTTGACATACTATACTATGATATTCTTATATCATACTATACTATGACATGTTTTTATATCATACTATACTATGACATTTTTAACATACTATACTATGACATTTTTTATATCATACTATACTATGACATTTTTTATATACTATACTGTGATATTTTTAACATACTATACTATGACATTTTTTATATCATACTATACTATGACATTTTTAACATACTATACTATGACATTTTTTATATCATACTATACTATGACATTTTTCTATATCATACTATACTATGACATTTTTAACATACTATACTATGACATTTTTATATCATACTATACTATGACATTTTTTATATACTATACTGTGATATTTTTAACATACTATACTATGACATTTTTTATATCATACTATACTATGACATTTTTAACATACTATACTATGATATTCTATATCATACTATACTATGACATTTTTTATATCACACTATACTATGACATTTTTAACATTCTATACCATGACTTTTTTTAACATACTTTACTATGACATTTTTATATCATACTGTACTATGACATTTTTTATATCACACTATACTGACATTTTTAACATACTATACTATGACATTTTTATATCATACTATACTATGACATTTTTAACATTCTATACTATGACATTTTTAACATACTATACTATGACATTTTATATCATACTATACTATGACATTTTTTATATCATACTATACTATGACATTTTTTATACACTATAAAATTATATTTTTAACATACTATACTATGACATTTTTTAAATCATACTATACTATGACATTTTTATATCATCCTATACTATGACATTTTTAACATACTATACTATGATATTTTTAACATACTATACTATGACATTTTTTATATCATACTATACTATGACATTTTTGACATACTATACTATGATATTCTTATATCATACTATACTATGACATTTTTTATATCACACTATACTGACATTTTTAACATAGTATACTATGACATTTTTATATCATACTATACTATGACATTTTTAACATTCTATACTATGACATTTTTAACATACTATACTATGACATTTTATATCATACTATACTATGACATTTTTTATATCATACTATACTATGACATTTTTTATACACTATAAAATTATATTTTTAACATACTCTACTGACATTTTTTAAATCATACAATACTATGACATTTTTAACATACTATACTATGATATTCTTATATCATAGTATACTATGACATTTTTTATATCATACTATACTGACATTTTTAACATACTATACTATGACATTTTTATATCATACTATACTATGACATTTTTAACATACTATACTATGACATTTTTTATATCATACTATACTATGACATTTTTTTATATCATACTATACTATGACATTATTAACATACTATACTATGACATTTTTATATCATACTATACTATGACATTTTTTATATACTATACTGTGATATTTTTAACATACTATACTATGACATTTTTTATATCATACTATACTATGACATTTTTAACATACTATACTATGATATTCTATATCATACTATACTATGACATTTTTTATATCACACTATACTATGACATTTTTAACATTCTATACTATGGGCTCTATTTTGGTGCCTCGCCGGAGACGTGCCGCAAGCGCAGCGTCAGTCAGATCCGCCGCGCTGACAAGGCGTTCCCAAGCACATTTTGGTATTTTGGTGAGCTGCGCAGCCCGGCGTAAGTATCCCCCCTCCCTAACTCAGCTCCTCCCAGCACCATAAGTCGTAGACGGGGAGGAGAAGGGCGTGTAGTTGGTTTAACACAGCCGAGACCTGTTTTCACCAATCACATAGGCTCCTCTCCTTGCCTTTAAATCCGCCACAGGCGAGGCGTATTACTATTTTCATGGAGTAGTCAAAGAGATCAAGAGATGTCTTAAGACAGTAATGCCACAAGATGGCGACAGAGGGCAGCTCCTCAACAAGTGTCCCCCACACTCTCTCATATGAGCACAGATGGATTTAGTGTGCGTAATGTTGGACCCACTGGTAAGACAAACACCCGTTTCCACAAATAAAGACACTCACATAAAGTTGCTCATATTCAAACCTCACGTGACAAAGGTGGGTTGAGCGCACAGATCACAACATAAACTCCAAAAATGGCATTAAAATCGGAACCATCTGTGCGTAAATGACCCATCGCGCTCCGTGGCCTGGCTCTTTCTTTCATAGATGTTGGCATATAAAATAAATTTGGCCCACAAAACTGAATATTATAATATCCGTATGTCGGCTTTAAGTAGATAACGCATCTGAGCACTGAAACAAATCATCTGTTCAGCTGCAGCAGCAGCAAGACGGACAGAGGACACGGAGACGTGTCCAGGTCGAGCTGTGCGAGAAATAAGAGGAAGAGGAAGAAAGAAAAGGAGGGAGACGAATTACATATCTTGTTAACTTCATCATGTGTGTATATTTACTAGATATTTAATTTAATTTGATGCGGTTTCAGCTGTGTTGATTCGGTCAGGTTGTGTGTCCAAACGCGTGCCAAACGCGCTCATCAGATCAGATATAGATCAGAATATATCTATATAGATCTAAATGTATGTGCTGACTCAGATTAATAGTTGATGATGATTATTTATTGCACTGACATGTGCCTGACACTGTGGAAACCTGCCGGTGAGGCATCAGTGACGTATGTCGATACGCCGCCGGTCTACCAAAATACTACAAGACCAGCTGCGTTCCGCCTTGCGCTGAAAGCTGACCAGGTTTGAATCGGCGAGCTTTCAGCGCACTTTACACGCCGTTGGCGAGCACGAAAATGTCACTGCGCCAGCTGATTCTGTCGAAACCTCCCCCTGCCACGCCACCACGCCCAGCTTGGCGGATCTCGGCTCGCCTCCGTGCGGCTCATGCCACGAAAATACCAAACTGGCCTTACGCTGGGCTCCGCCAGACGAAAATACAACTGCGCGGGGCTCGCCGCCCTCCGCCGCCTCACCGGCGCGCACGAAAATAGAGCCCTATGACTTTTTTAACATACTTTACTATGACATTTTTATATCATACTGTACTATGACATTTTTTATATCACACTATACTGACATTTTTAACATACTATACTATGACATTTTTATATCATACTATACTATGACATTTTTATATCATACTATACTATGACATTTTTATATCATACTATACTATGACATTTTTATATCATACTATACTATGACATTTTTATATCATACCATACTATGACATTTTTAACATTCTATACTATGACATTTTTAACATACTATACTATGACATTTTATATCATACTATACTATGACATTTTTTATATCATACTATACTATGACATTTTTTATACACTATAAAATGATATTTTTAACATACTATACTATGACATTTTTTAAATCATACTATACTATGACATTTTTTATATCATACTATACATGACATTTTTTATACACTATAAAATGATATTTTTAACATACTATACTATGACATTTTTTATATCATACTATACTATGACATTTTTAACATACTATACTATGATATTCTTATATCATACTATACTATGACATTTTTTATATCATACTATACTGACATTTTTAACATACTATACTATGACATTTTTATATCATACTATACTATGACATTTTTAACATACTATACTATGACATTTTTTATATCATACTATACTGACATTTTTTATATCATACCATACTATGACATTTTTAACATACTATACTATGACATTTTTATATCATACTATACTATGACATTTTTTATATACTATACTATGATATTTTTAACATACTATACTATGACATTTTTTATATCATACTATACTATGACATTTTTGACATACTATACTATGATATTCTTATATCATACTATACTATGACATTTTTTATATCACACTATACTGACATTTTTAACATAGTATACTATGACATTTTTATATCATACTATACTATGACATTTTTAACATTCTATACTATGACATTTTTAACATACTATACTATGACATTTTATATCATACCATACTATGACATTTTTTATATCATACTATACTATGACATTTTTTATACACTGTAAAATTATATTTTTAACATACTCTACTATGACATTTGTTAAATCATACTATACTATGACATTTTTAACATACTATACTATGATATTCTTATATCATACTATACTATGACATTTTTTATATCATACTATACTGACATTTTTAACATACTATACTATGACATTTTTATATCATACTATACTATGACATTTTTAACATACTATACTATGACATTTTTTATATCATACTATACTATGACATTTTTTATATCATACTATACTATGACATTTTTAACATACTATACTATGACATTTTTATATCATACTATACTATGACATTTTTTTATATACTATACTGTGATATTTTTAACATACTATACTATGACATTTTTAACATACTATACTATGATATTCTATATCATACTATACTATGACATTTTTTATATCATACTTAACTGACATTTTTAACATACTATACTATGACATTTTTAACATTCTATACTGACATTTTTAACATACTATATTACAACATTTTTATATCATACTATACTATGACATTTTTAACATACTATACTATATTTTTATATCATACTATATGACATTTTTTATATCATACTATACTTTGACATTTTTTACATACTATACTATGACATTTTTAACATACTATACTATGACATTTTTAACATACTATACTATGACATTTTTGACATACTATTCTATGGCTGTTTTAACACTGTTCCATGGCTGCTCCTCCGGCTCCTGCTCCTCTCCCTGCTCCCCTCTTTTCTCCTCTTCCTGCTCTCACCTCTCTCCTCCTGCCTCCTTCCGCTCCTCTCCTTAAACCGCTGTCGTCAGTTTTTTTCAGCGTCTGAGACGTAATCAGAGTGTCACAGCAGGGGGCGCTGTAACTTTCAGTTTACCTTTGTGTTGATCCATAACTATAGATGACTGACCCAGGTCTGATACAGACAGATGTTCAGCTTCTGCACTGTGTGTCTGTGTGAGTGTAGTGTTGTGTATTTTTGTGTGTGTTAACAGCGATCGTTGTGTGTCTCTGCTGTGTATTGTGTGTTGTGTGTTTTTGTGTGTTAACAGCGGTCGTTGTGTGTTTCTGCTGTTCCACTCTCAGCTTCTCTCCCTGCAGGTGAGCAGAGGGTGGCGTTCTCAGCAGGTCTGACGGATTCAGGACCAGTAGGACCGTTTGATGTGGAGACCACTCTGATCTTCTCCAAAATCATCACCAACATCGGAAACGCCTACAACGCCACAGCAGGTAAAACACCCGTCAGGTAAACACACCCACACCCTCACCTGCTCCGTGAAAAACCGTCACCTGTTTCATCTCTCCGGTGTGTTAAGTTTTGCCCTGTGTTTCGTCTCTCAGGTGTGTTCCAGGCTCCTGTCAGAGGACTGTACTTTTTTAGCTTCACGGCGGCGGACTATCAGAAGGGTTACATGGGTCTCCACCTGTACAGAAACAGTCAGCCAATCACCTTTAACCTGGACCTGAACGACCACGGCGGCTACGCCTCTACATCGAACAGCGTGGCTCTGCAGCTGGAGGCGGGTGACGGCGTCCGCCTCAGTCTGCCTGCCAGCTACCGTCTCTATGACGACCCCAGGAACTTCAGCGTGTTCTCCGGCTTCCTGCTGTTTCCTCTCTGACGATCGAGGACTTTCTATTCAGTGGACTCTTATTTTGATAGAGACTTCCTGTGGTTGGATTCCATTCTGAAGCCGTGAGTCTGATCAATATAAATAACTTATCAATGACTGATATCAATAAAAACTCAGTAATACGCATTATTGTTGGTCTGAGCGTGAAGACGAGCGTCGTCAAGGAGACGCTGAAGTTTTTTCACCAAAGGTCACGACCCCTCCGCAGATTAAAAACAAAAAGACTTTTAAACTTTGAAACAATTGGAACTTTTATTAAATTTGACCTAAAACATTAAAACATGAAACTGACCTTTGACCTCTGCATGAGAACTTCAGTGTAACAACAAACCAAAGATCCTGGAGTGACCCTCTGACTAAACAAACTACTAAATAACATCGTCATCATCGTCTTCATCGTCATCATCGTCGTCGTCGTCGTCATCGTTCACAGTTGGTCTGTTCATGTAAGTCAATAAATACCTGAACGCAGCGTCTGTGTTACATTCAAGTGACGTCAGGACAAAATAAAGTTGGTGACAAACCTCTCACTCTGATGTTTTTTTTCAAGTCTCTAAAATCATGACATTATTGATCATTCATTCATCCGATCTCTCAGTCCATCCAGAAACAAAAACTCGATCAGTTCAGTGAAAACGTGCAGAAAAAGGTTTAAAAACTCGACGAGAGATTAAAAAGTTCAGGTCCTAAAAATCAGTCACATGACCCGGCGAGGCCGCCCCTTTAAGACAAAAAAGATCCTCCAATTAAAAAAGAGGAAAAAGGGAAACAGATGGCTTCACATCCTTCATCATGAGGGGGAGAAAAAAGAGCAGAGGGGAGAGCATGACAGACACAAAGGTAGAAAAGGAGACCAAAAGGAGGTGGAGTCAAAAAGGGTGGAGTCATTAAAGAGGAGGAGTCAAAGAAGAAGGGGGTGGAGTCAAAAAGTGGAGGAGTCATATAAGAGGGGGAAGAGTCACAAAGAGGTATAGTCATAAAAGAGAGGGAGGACTCATGAAAGAGGAGGGGTCAAAAAAGAGGGGGAGGAGTCATATCAGAGAGGGAGGAGTCAATAAAGAGAGGGAGGAGTCATAAAGGAGGGTGTGGAGTTGTAAAAAAGGGGGAGGGGTCATCAAGGAGTGGGAGGAGTCATAAAAGAGAGGTAGAACAGACAAATAAAGAGGAGGAGGGCAAAGGGGCGGAGTCAGTGGTGGTGGGCGTGGACCCTCCTGTTGACAGCCTGTAGAAGGAGCAGCGAGTACTCCTCCAGCAGCGCCGCCGTCTTCACCTCCCCCACACCCTCCAGCCCCCCTTCTCCTCCCAGCATGCTCGGTGTCTGTAGTGGCAAACAGTTTAGCTCCTCCCTCATCGCCTGGAAGGCCTCTGATAGGACGACCATAATCTGCTGCTGGTCAGGAGCGGAGTCACCTGAGGAGCCGCTCACCTGGAGGAAAGGTCGTCATGACAGTGTGGGTCGGGTTAGTTTCCATGGTTACAGCAAGAACCTTTATTTACACACTCAATTACCCAGAATCCCCAGCCTCTACGAACTCACCTTCCTGAACAGGTGAGTCGCCCTCCTGAAACAACTCTGAAGCTCATTGGTCAGAACCCTGCAGGACTCGATGCTGATTGGCTCATCTGAAGAGAGGCGGGGCAAAGTGAAGGGGGGGGTTAATTTTAGGCTGTGATGGAGGGACGACGGAAAAGACGGGAAGAAGGTTAGACTTCAGAGTGAGTCCAAAGAGTCCGGTTCAGTCCAATCGGATCAATCCGATTTATTTTAGTCTGGTTTAAGTTAGTCTGGTTTAAGTTAGTCTGGTTTAAGTTATTCTGGTTTAGTTAAGTCAAATTGGTTGGGTTTAGGTTATTCTGGTTTGCTTCAGTCCTGTTCTGGTTCAGTCTTGTTTGGTTAAGTCTGAATTCCTTTAGTCTGGTTTAAGTTATTCTGGTTCACCTCAGTGGAGTTTGGTTTATTCTGGTTCACTTTGGTTTAGTCGAGATGGTTGGGTGTAGTTCAGTCCGGTTTAGTTCAGTCTGGTTTAGTTTAGTCCGGTCTGTTTCAGTCTGGTTTACCTCAGTCTAGTTTAGTTCAGTCCGGTTTCGTTCAGTCCGGTTTACCTCAGTCTGGTTTACCTCAGTCTGGTTTAGTTTAGTCCGGTTTACCTCAGTCTAGTTTAGTTCAGTCCGGTTTAGTTCAGTCCGGTTTAGTTCAGTCTGGTTTAGTTCAGTCTGGTTTAGTTCAGTTCGGTTTAGTTCAGTCTGGTTTAGTTGAGTCCGGTTTAGTTCAGTCCGGTTTACCTCAGTCTAGTTTATTTCAGTACGGTTTAGTTCAGTCTGGTTTAGTTCAGTCCGGTTTAGTTCAGTCCGGTTTTACCTCAGTTTAGTTTAGTTCAGTCCGGTTTAGTTCAGTCCGGTTTTACCTCAGTCTAGTTTAGTTCAGTCCGGTTTAGTTCAGTCCGGTTTTACCTCAGTTTAGTTTAGTTCAGTCCGGTTTAGTTCAGTCCGGTTTTACCTCAGTCTAGTTTAGTTCAGTCCGGTTTAGTTCAGTCCGGATTACCTCAGTCTAGTTTAGTTCAGTCCGGTTTAGTTCAGTCCGGTTTACCTCAGTCTAGTTTAGTTCAGTCTAGTTTGGTTGAGTTTAGGTTATTCTGGTTTGTTTCAGTCCGGTTAGGCTCAGTCCTGAAATGAAGCTCAAGAGTGAAGGGGAGGAGTAATAAGAAAA